GCCCTATTTCAGTCCTCTGCTGGCTCCCCATCTGCCACCACATCACCTGTAACCTGCTGCTCGCCATTCTCAAAGCTCTGCGTAACTCTGCCCCTCCCCACTTATCCTCCCGTGTCAAGCTCTGCGTTGACCCATCCGCCCCCCCCCTTAGCTCCACCAATCTGCTTCCTCAGTTCCTCTGCGAGGCCCCGCTCCCACCCTGTCTCAAAGACCCACTTCCACTATGCGGCTCATAGTGAATGGAGATACGGGGGTTTATAGAAGCCCTCTGTTGTTCTCTTTCTCCTCACCTCTGTCTGTCCTTATACTGTGAGCCTCGTGGAGCTGGTACCACTCCCCCCTCAAATGGCTGGGAAACACTTGGGACATTGTGGGTGCTGCTATAAACAAATCAATAATCGGTCTTCAAGTTTCCCATGCCTCCTTTGGCCCTTCCAGTCACTCCACTGCATCCTCCATGATTCCTTGGCTCTTCTCCTCTGAACCACTTTCTGGTGCTCCCCAAACATATGCATAGTTTCACTCTATACTGTCTTATAATAACTGGGATGTTGGCAGACCAGCTCATGCCAAGGCCCCTACGTCTCACTAAACACTGACAAATGCACAGCTGGGAACCAGTCTGCCTCCCCTGTGTGTCAGGATTGTTTTAAATAGGTATTAGGGTTATAAAAATGTGTTTAGACTGTATGAAACACTTGTAAGTTGCTGCCAGCAATCGTGTCCCTTGCAATAGCTGTGTCCCATGGTTTAAGGTAATATTCAAGTGGTTGATCCATAACTATAAATCACCAGTCAGCAGAGAAGCATTACCAACTGCGAAATACTGGTTTGCTACAGGAGGCCTTCTCTCCTGCCCAGCAAAAGGCCCATAGACACCAGTCAAACCATTGTGGAACATCAGAGAAAAAAAGACTTTGTTGATTGGTCTCACCACCACCACCACCACCACCCCCCATGAATTGGGGACATGCATGTGGACTCGTCCCATCAGCTTGAACTCTGGGGGAAGGGAATAAAAATCCCTGACAAGAAGAAACTCTATCTTTATGCTGCTTGGACTGTGAGGAGCAAGGATTATTAAGAATAAGCAAAAGATCCCCAGTGCTTGGTCTGGGTTAGCCCTCCAAGACATATAGCCTCCATGGCGTGCAGGAGGCACTGGGAGGAAGGAGGAGGAATTGATCGGTGGGGGCCAGCAGCGGGCAGGAGTGGGAGGAGGAAGGGGAGCTTGGCTGCTGATGGGTGCTATACACCCACTAATTTTTCTCTGTGGGTGCTCCAACCCTGGGATTTGGGAGCACGAGCCCCATTGATTTCTAGTAGCATTTGTGCTCCTGTGGCCCTTAGGTGCTTTTGAAATTTTCCCCCAGAATGAAGATGGCCTTGATCCTGAGGCAGCACGTACAACTTAAACAAGACAGACACGGCACAGGGCTCACTGCAAAGCTCAGAGAAGGGATTAATTAGGGAGATTCATCATTAAGAATGCAATTCTAGGCACTGAAATGATTGACTGACTCTTTATGAGTATCACACAAGTAATGAGCATGTAGGAGGCATTTAAATGAAGAGCAGATTCTGTGCTCCCTGTTATGTCTTTAGTGGTGTACCCTATCCCCCTTGCTGAATTTGGTCAAAAGACTCTCAGTACAATCCCAGGTGGCAGCTTCACATTAAAGACATCTAAACGGGCGGATTTCATTTACATTTCCCTGTGTTGCAGTGCAGACAGAGATCTAACACAGGCTCCATCATGGATGATTATTCGTGCTGCTGGAAGCAAATTCATTGCCTAAAAAGAACAAAAAGATCTGGTTTTGATCACTTTTTATAAAATTCCTATGCAGTTATTGAAGGACAGTTAAGAGAAAAGGGCTGCACCCAAACCCATCAGACTGTGGTTTTCTATGAGTTACAGCCTGAAACTGGGCCAGGGCAGAAGTAGTTGTTCTCTCAAAGAAGTTATTGATGTCTTCCTGTATTTTTAAATCTGCTTTTGATGGTATTTGAATTCCCAGGACTTCTATAGCTGATAATTTCATTGCAACCAGTGGATTTACACCAGTGTCAAACTGCAATAGTGTAGCGGTGAATCAGGCCCCAGATTCCAAGTCATGTATCAATTTTGGTTCTATATTTATATGCGTTCTTTATTTCTTCTCTCACCCTTGCAATATGTGTCAGGACAACCCGTGAAACAAGACTCCGACAGTGATTTAAGGGTTTGCTTTGAAACCACACCAAAGATAGATACAGGCAACATTGGGCTGTCTGAATTGGTTTTCACATTCCAGCTGTATTTATTTTAGCTTAACAAATCAATAATACACACTGTGAAGGCCGTAGGATTGTTTGTCTCCATCCATTAAACACCTCAAGCCAAATTTAAAGTCCTGAGGTAATGGGAGTTGCAAGTGCTCAGGACCTTGCAGGATATGGCATGTCACCATGAGATACAGTAGCATACCTGACACACCAGTCAAGGAGAAATAGCAGCTGTTATGAGTAGATCAACAACAGAGCTAAATGAACTAGGAATGCAGGAATTCACAGGCAGAGTCAGATCAGTGCTCTGTCTAGTCCAATATGCAGGAAGGGTGGGTAGAGTCCTAGCTGGGAAACCAGGTTCAAGTCCCTGCTCCTCTACAAATTATCTATGTGATCTTAGGCAAGTCACTTGCTGTGTCCAATCCCCTATTGGTAAAATGAAGACAATAGCACTTCTTAACCTGACCAGGGTACCGTGAGGATAAATACATTAAAATTGTGAGGTGCTTAGCTACAAAGGCCATGGGGCCACATAAGCACCATACATAGATATTCTGGATGCAACAGTGGCTAGTACCACATACTTCAGAAGAAGGTGGCATAATCTGTAAAGGAAGTTACTTACTGTCCCTTAGTGGTTGGTTGATGTCTTGAGGCATGAGTGTTATTTATCTCTTATACTTATTTTTATTCTACTTAAGGTAACTGTGAATGTTCTTATTCCCCACAGACTTTCAATGGGACTTGTGCTCCTAAGTCATTTAGATGTTTTGAAAATGTCACTCATAAATGTCTAACCCTTTTTTTTAAATCATGCTCTTGGCTTTAGCATTAGCTTCTGACAATGAGTTCCACAGGTTAGTTGTGGAGTATGTAATTAAAAAGTGCTTCCTTTTATCAGCTTAAAATGAGTCACCTTTCAATTTTATTGGAGTGTCCTTGTGGTGGTACTATGAGATATAGACAGATAGGAGCATCCCTGATTTACCTTATACCATTCATTATTTTGTATTCTACTATCACGTCCCTTCACAGTCATCTCCTCTCTAAACTCAAATGTCCCAGTCTTTTTGATATTTCCTCTTTTGAAAGTCTCTCATTGATGCTCATTAGTTTGAGCAACCGTCCCGGAACCCTTCTCTTTCTGCTGTAGCTTTTTGCAGACGGAGGTGACCAGAACTGTACATAATGTTCCCTCTTGATATGTATAATGGCATTATAATATTTTCAGCATTATTGTCTGCCCCATCCTTTAT